ACGGATCCCGGCCGCGTCTAAAGTGGGCTTAAATGAAGCGATTTCTTGGCCCGGCCAACGATCTGTTATAAATTGATCGCGGGGCTAAGTGAACTGCTGTTGGCTGCAGGATTCTATTACCACTTCATGGGGATATTTAGTTGGCTTAATCAGGTAATGAGCAAGTGTGAAGTGGCTATCAATATTTATGTGGTCATTTGGGGAGCATATATTTAAAGCAAAGAGTTTGTTAAGACGTTCTAATTATATACTGGCAATAAACACAATAGTGTATATAGGTTAAATGTTTTGATGAGATGGGTGTTTTATCCCCTCCCCTAAACTCCTCCTTCGCCGGAACTCTGCACTATATCACCAGACATCTCCGACTTTCTACCATTCCAATCCATGTGGCCTGCCAATCAGAGGTGCCACAAAGCTTTTTATATATTTTCCACGTTTTTCGGGGTATTTCGCTTTATTTATCCGGCGCGTAAATAAAATATTTTCGGTACTCGCTGGTCAGCTGTTTCCCATCAACGGCGCCTGCCACATGGGCGTCCATCGATTCCCATGGGTTGTCTGCAAACTCTATCTATCTGATTCTATCACCTCCGCGGGCCTCTCGCGGTGGAAGCGGCATAAAGAAGCGCTAATGTTGCATTAAATTCAGCTGAAATCAACTGTTAAGTGGCTTTCAGTGAGCTATTTAATTCCCGAACACCCAAAAAGAGCAAAGGCGATATATGCATGTATGTAGAAACGGAATTTCATAAATAAATGTGTGTCTGCGATCCGAACTTGATTCGCTTGCCCCTAAAAGTCCAAATGGTATGTAAGGGTATGAGTTCTCCGTTTTTTAGGGGCAAGTAAATAAAATAGAGGATGTTATGCTTTGAGCAATTATGATTGTTTTGGCAGGCCAAGTTTTGAGCAATCTGTGAAATTCTACAAAATCGTGGCAGCTGTTGAGGAAGTAAATTGAATTCGATTTGAAGTTGAGTCAATCATTTGAACTGAAATGTGGTTGTGGGTATTTATACTTCCGGTGGGTTATGAAAAGTAATATACTGGCTCAAGAAAAACTACAGACATCAACGAACTTTCCATCAACTTGACCTCCCATTACCTCTCTTTGATCTTTGATGTAAGATTGTGTTATCTTGTTCTCAAGCGTTTTTCTGCCTTCCCAACCAACTTTCAACCTTTCCAAGTCGACCCAAAACCCCCGAAAACAGAGGTCAAAAGATTGCCAACCTCTGCGTTGCCTTCTCCGTATGCAAATCTCAAGTGAACGGATCGATGGGGCCGCAAAAGAGGTCGTCAATTGTGGCTCCTCGCCTCCGCAGAAGAACAACTGCCTCAAACTCAAAAGGCTTGTCAGTATTTCATCAAAAGACACATGTTGCCGTCGAGCCAGAGCCTCAGAGGCAGAAGACAAAAGGCGGAGACAGCCGATTCTAACGAGAATAATATAGTTCTCCATTCTCTTTATTTATATTTATGGCGGTCGACGAAAGGCTTCTTAGAAAATGCATAAAACCTGCGCCAAGACAGCCCCACATGCTACGTAGACTGTGGCCAAATGTGCACGAACGATTGACTGTCGTGAAGCTTCGTTTAAATGCGTTTTTAATTAATTATGCGACGCGCGTGCCACATGCAACGTGCTGCAAGGGGGGACGCATCGGGCAAACTTCAGTGACAACACACGATCGACATAAAAATGCAGACATCGAGGGGGGAAGTCGTAAAAATGCGGCAAGAAATTTTCAAATTTGTAAAACGCTAAAAATTCCCAAAACGCAGCCGTTTCTTCTGGATGCAGTGAAAACAATTTTGGACAAAAAGTACTTAGAAGTACATCCAAAAACTATTTCTGTTTTTCATTTTAAAAAGAATCATTGTCACACAATTTTATTACTGGTGCAAGAATTCCATATAGCTCTTTGTTCCCATTTGAGTTCCACATTTAGTTTAAGTACGTTCTTGCCGTGCACCTTCCCTTAACCCCTTGGTGCCCCCTTCGGTAGCCTGCCACGCATGTGTTAATCTGCGTGGAGCACAATTAATTTTCTGCAAATGCCTGGCAGGCAGCATCACTGAACCCAACAATGCGCCTCGAGAGATCTCGGGGCTTATATATTTTATTAATTACGCTCAAGTGCTCTGGAAGGGAATGTGCGAAGGGGGCTGCTCCGCCGGGGCTAATTACTGAAAAATTGGCAGTTGTCGTTGATTTTATGGTAAATTATTTGTCAGCAAGATGGAAGATGGCCAATGGAAGACGCCAACTGCCGACGACCGGCGACTCTTCAAATGTCTGCCTTTTCAGGAGTGGGTAAGTTGTTGGTTGCGAGGGGTTTGGGGGGGCGCTCTGCCTAGACAGATTTATGGCTGGCATTTGAAAGTTTATGTATAACTAAATGCGGTTTTGATTTTAGTTGCAGTTTGGCTGAGCCGAAGCAGCTGCTCCGGGAAATAGAAAGAAATCGTGTTGGAAGCGACTGCTGGCACATCGATCAATTGCAGATATAATACAAAATAGGTTAGGGAATGGGGATAGTTCTTTGCCCAGCAGAAACAAGCTGAGCCGAAAACATAAAGGTAAGAGTTTGAATAATAGCATATTTTCCTATCTGTTCTGTCCTCTCAATTTCAATGTAGCATTCTCATCCAAACAAATGAAGCTATGCTCCATGTGATGGCCCCTAAATCAACCAGATCACGCACTTGAAATAAAACTGTCACAGATCTCTGGCGAACATCTAGTTCTGGCCGCAGATAAAATCGAACAGAACCTGAAACTCACTTTAACCTAACCTTTCCCATCCTATAAATACCCATAACGATTTGAGGCGACATCGAAGGCAGTTGTCCGTGCGATTTATAGATAGATTCGATGGGCGAGGGTCTCGGTTGTACAAACTCAAGTCTATTGGGGGCCACCCAAAGGTACTCGAGTGCGCCCGGATGGCCATTAAAAGCGACTCGAGTCGAAGTTCTTTTTATGATAGCCACTAATCAGAGGCATACTTTGCATATTTCAACTAATTTTCATTAGGGTAATGGCTTTGTGTCTCCCTGATTTTTATAGACAAGACCACAAATTTTAGTTAGTGTGGCCAAAGCACAAATGCGCCATAAATTGTCGTCTGATTAGTGCTACAATCTCAGGGTCATAAAACTTAATAAAAACCCATATAGACGGTGCAGCTGGCAAAGGATCCGCTAGTTAACACTCGAATGCATCTCATGGATACACAAGCGAGCGACCATAAAAATCAAATTGCAATGTCTAAACGACTGTAAGCGACTAATTTTGCACAAGTTAATAAATTTGTTTCCCCGTTTCTTCTGATTTCTCCTCGGAGGAGTTGTAGGCACACAGATCGTGCTCCAAAAGCTGATCTTCATATTTAGTAAGCTGCAAATTATGACCACAATTTCCAGACGCAATTTGCCAAAAAAAAAATAAACAAAAAAACGAAAAAAGCGAGAAAAAATGCAGTGCAACGAGCAGAACGCACAAGGAAAACATATGGAAAATTATAGTAATAAATACTTTCGGGGACCAAGGGGCCTCCGAACACTGGGCGACACGCAGCCAGGCACTTGGAGGTAAATCTGAAGAAAAACGATAATGGCAGCACTAATAAATTGCGGCCAACATGTTGCATGCTGCACGAGTGCGGGGTGTTCCCCTCTGCAAGACCCCCTTGGCTCTTCCTTTCCCGCTGCACCTGAAGTCGCCGCGTGACTCAAAAACTCCGGCCAACTATAATAACAACAACGCAACGCCGGGGCGTGCAATTAGAGTACAACGTTTGCAGTTCAACGGGGAATACGCTTACACAGAGAAAAAAAGCATGCCCATCAAAATATGCAAAATATTATATCTTTAACGAGCTTTCACTTTACTTCATTTCGTGGTACCATGCATTGAAACGCTTCGATTTTCTCGCAGTGTCTAGCTTCATGCAAATAACGCACAAAGGGGCAGAGTGGGCTGAAAAGAGGGTCAGGCGGAGCGGAGCGAACCCCGAGGGACACTTATTAAAAACAGTTATTAAATGCGACAGGCAACGCGCTTGGAGATTTTCGGTGCGTACCCACATCGACGTCCCATTCCCAATCCCATTCCCAAGCTCGAAGCCGAGCACAAGCCTAAGCCCAAACACCAACCAACCCATATACCCCAGTCCAAGTCCAGTCCACGTCAAAATCTCCAGTCTCAGTCCCAATTTGAACTCCATTTCGGACAAAGTCGTGCAATCCCCCGCGGCTTTGCACGTGTTCTCTCCGCCTCGAATTCTCCCTCCCATATTTGTATTTGGATAAGGACATGCGTACGAGCAACGTCCGCGTTTCCATCGACATTCGGAGCGGCGTCAGAGCCGCCTGTAGCGTCCACAGTACAGTGAACACTGGTACACTTCTGCCCAAAAACCAGCATTAGAACCATTCTTCCTTTTATGCGAACCGTCGTAGATATTGAATTTCTGTGGCAAATAATGTCTCGTAAGGAAAAAGGTATTTCAAAAAGTTAAGCACATCGATTTACCACTGTATCTTACTCACACTCCGATTGCCATTACAATTTCATGCGGTTGCTCAGCTCGCTGTATCGCAATATTGGATTTCATGTTTGCCACTTTGTGCGACGCACTGCGTCGGGCGCGGCTTTTGGCAACATTTTATGCTGATTACACGTCTAATCCTCAGCGTGTGCCGTCGTCCTATTGGGTTAATGGCATGGCAGGAGGCGGTTTCCCAGCTGGGTGAGGGGCAGACGAGAGCCAAGACACCGTCATTCAATTTCTGTTTGCGCCATTGGCGTTTAGTGTTGATATCCAAGAAGACCTTTAATTGAATACAGGGTGCCACAGTGTCACCAACAATGAAAGGAAGCCCTTCGGTTCCCAACAGTTGGGACACTAATAGGTCTTCTGCAGGAGAAGGGAATTTAGAATAGATTTGGGAGTGCTTGACGAAGCCCTAGAGACCTAAAGAAACTATTATTTTACAACAGACTAGTATGATTTTATTGAATGTATAAATATGTATATAATCAGGGCGCCACAACAATTTAAATTTGAGAATATGAGTATTCAGGATCTATAGGCATTATAAAAGTCCCGAAAGTTAATAACGCCATCGCCATCCGTATCAGCCTGACGAAACACATCATCGAACTCTTCGTCGGATATTTTTTCGCCAACATTGGCAAAAACGTGACGTAGATCGGTATATGATATAAAACCATCCTTATCGGTATCGAAGGCATTATAAGCTGCCTTCAAATAGTCAACGTGGCTCATAATTTTGTAGATTTTAGTCATCAGCTCGATAAAATCGCCAAGTTCTATGTACCCATTGACGTCTCCTTCGAGTCCCTCGGAATATCTGTAGATTTCCGACTCGGTGTGGTTCTGGCCGAGAGCGCGCATAACTGTTCCCAAATCTTCTGCACCGATCCTTCCAGTCTTCTGAGGATCACAAAGGGCGAAGGCATCGCAAATGTCCTGAAGATCGTCATTCGATAAGGTGTAGTGTGGACTTTCCATGTTTATCTATGCTGTTGCAACTGCTTAAAATGCTTTTTGTATGTTGTTGTCAGTTTCAATATGGGAGTTGAACTGATTTACCAGTAATGTGGCTCTGACTGTCAGCCCAATCAAATGGACGTTCACTGCAAAGGCTACTTCCTTTTTAAATTAATGAAAATTCATAAACTTTGTAAGTTTTCCAAGGGATTCCCAAGCAAGCCAAGCACCCTGTTTCCCTCAGAAGCCATACGACTTAAACGTTCTCCATGGGACTTCGAAGCCCAGACGGCGATCCACGACGAACCAAGGGAACTGGCGTTTAATTGGAATCTTGGGCAAATATAGAAACAAATAAAGGCACGCCGAGAATCCAATAAATGTCCTGCGCTGCACGTGCAAGCAGCTAGACGCCGTCGCCGTGGGATCGGAGAACAAATTCTGGAGTGAGAATCTGAATCTTCGCAATGGGAATGGTGGTATGGGTTATTCGAGACTGGGTTGCGTTAATTGAACGCTCATGAAACTGGCTAAATTGCCAAAGAGAGAGAAAAGGGAATGGATACGCGAATGGGATGCACAGTACACACAAGCCGTGTCACAACAATCGATTGTCCTTTTTTTGTTTGTGCCCGCATTTGCTGACATCATCACAAAGAACGGGGAATCTCCGAATCACCAACCCTGCGAATGCACTTCCGACCGCCAGTCATGTACAGTGGGTTCTTAGTCCAGGAGTCCTTCGAAAATGGTCAATAGATATCTATACTATTGTAAAAGAGATATTTTGTCGAATAGAAACAAGAATTTCCCAAAAAAAAATGTAGTATGTGGTATTCCTCACTTTCGATGAGTCCAACCACTGTACTTCGTGCCCAATTGGATGTTCCGTTCTGCAGATTGATCACAAGACACGTGTTCCGCCGTAGACTTACCCCGGAATCTGCCGCTATGCGGTGCACGTGCTGGGATTCGTTTTTATCTTCGAAAGGATTCGGCTGGCAGTGCGACCGGAAGCCCTTTTCGGCCGCAGTGAAACCCTATCGCATTGGAAAATCGATGACAGACGCATCCTGTTGCCAAGGACCCCAACCCGTCCCCCGTTCCGCTACTTTTACCCACCTCCCCTGTTTCAGTGGGTGGCGCCTGGTGGAGCAGACGCCATTGCTGCGCAAAGGATAAACGCACAGAGAACCACTGAGAAACTGGGAGAGCTCCAAATGCGGTCGAGACATTTTCTTGGAGAGTTTTATACAAGGAAAAGCACCACAATTTTAGCACAAATAATACTCCTAATTTTCCCCTCTTTTATGAAAAATATAGAAAGCTTTCAACGTGCGTATGAGTAATTCTGGGCTTGTAGCAGTATAAAAATGATCGAGATCTAATCGGATATAAAAGTAAATGCATTTAAATTGCTAACTTCGACCAAAAAGCCTGACCAATGTCCCAACGACTTCCTACATCTGTCTGGCTCACAGGCACAGATTCGAGCTCCGAATCGATCCCACTTCAGGCCAAAACCTCGGACACAGGCTGTCCAAACAATTGCCGGCGTCGATCTGTTTGAAAATTGTGTTCGAACAAACGTCGCATTAACGCAACATTTTCCCATTTTTTATGGCCAGGCCAACTCCCGCCTTGTCCAACAAAGCTCAGCTGCCTGTTATTCAACACGGCGGCGACAGCAGAAAACTCAAAACTCAGCGCAGGTAAACTTTGCCACCCCCCGAAAGCCACCTCTTTTCCGCTTTTCCCACTTTAACTTGATACACGGAAAGAAACACCCAAACGAATTCCAATCTTTGCCAATAATAAGTCATTATCGCAACATTAGCAATACTGCCTGATGATTATCTATCGCTTTGGGGAGCTGAAACAAACAAAAACATTGTTAGGGGCCAATCATTTATTAAGTAACCAAACCATTTGAACTAACCAAAGCGCATTTTCGCACCGTGCATTACCATCCAGTATCCAGTCTAGGCTCAATCTCGGACTCGGACTCCGACTGCAGCTCTTGTCCAGTTATGCGCCAAAAGCAGTGCAGTCTCCAGCTGTGACTTGAACTCTTTCCAAACACGCGCGCCTGCAACAGCGGTTGCCCCACCTTTCCTTCACCCCCCCACCCCCTTTCCCTTCCCCTTTCCACCGCCCCTGCTCCACACGCTCCCCCTTTTTTTATGGGCATTTGAAAGCGCTTGGAATGCCAAAAGAGCCAGGCAGCCAAGGCGGCTATCTCGGCAGTCGTTTAGTGTAATCAGTGGCCGGCACAGGAGGATATGGACAGGCCATTGAGTGGGCGAGGGGGAGCGCGGAACAGGCGGGGGGACTTTGCGGAATAGATGCATCTATGAATATGAATACCAGTCAGCACCTGAGATCAATTCGATGAATGAACTGCACTGGGCTAAGCTCACATGGAAGTGGGGTAACCGCTGGGTATTAAAACTCCATTAATATATTTTAGGTGCGTGTGAATAACTTGTATACTACTGCAACGAAGCTTAGGTGGAAATTAGACAACTAATTATATATTTGGCTGCTCCTATGGGAAATGATTAACGAAATTTTAATATTCTAATAAAACAAACATTTTCCCAAAAAGAGCTGCTCCAAACTAAATAGAAGCACCCATTTTCCTTAAAGCCGTTCTCATTTGCTGGTTACCCAATAAAGCTATCGCCAATGGAAATCTTTGCAGGCAGGTCAAAGATCTGGAAGCTGTGCAATCTTTATACCACGTAAGCGCACAAAGGAACATCTATTACCAGTAATCGGAGAGCTGGCCACCGATTCTTTCACTTAATCATTGCTCCAGTTGGAGGAATACGCTGCACAGATGGCATTCCTGTGCATCGGATGCCATTGCATTTTGGCTTAGCCTGATTGACCCTCATAAAGTCAACTGCCAACATTTAGCGATCTAAATCAGTTGAAAGCGGCCAACTGGCAATGGCAACTGGCAACATAGATATTACCAATGCAGGAAACTCTTTCCAGGAAACTCTTTCTTAGCTTTTGGCTTTGATTGTGTTGTGTCCACCTCTTTTTTGGTTTTTCTGTTTTTTTTTTGTTTTCTTCATGTTTTTCTGTTGGTTTTGGGTGCCCAATTGAACCGACCAGCAGCCGAGAGATTTATTTGCAGGCAGCGAACATGACTTGGTAGTTTTGTTTCGTGTGCATGTTGCTGTTGGCTCTTGGCTGTTGTTGTCTGTGTTGCCTGTGTTTTGGCAGTTGCTAGTAGTCCTCGAAGATGAGATACTTGCCGTCTGATTAGCTGACACAGCAACAGCAACTCCGCAACAGCAACAGCAACTGCAGCAGCAGCAGCAGGAGCAGCGGCAGCCAAATCAGCAATGCAGCAACAGGCCCAAAGAGTGGGCAGCAGGCACTGTCAGGCTGCCAAGTCAAATCGTGTACACAATTGGCGCGACATGCAACATTATTCTCCTTCTGCTCCTTCGAGGCCGTCGATCCCGATCCCGATCCCCCAATCCCAATCCCAGTCCCAGTCCGGACTCCAGTTCCCAGTTCCAAGTTCCCATTCCCCATCCCATTCCAATTCCCGAAGTTGCAGCTGCAGCAGGCTGCAAACTCCAATTGAAAGTGGCGCGGGCGGCTGCTCCAACTCTGGACAGACAATTCCACCGGGTTCAACACTCAAAACAAAGCAGATCGCATTAGGGATATTCATAAAAGCACCTTAAACAAAAAGTATAGATTAATATAGCACAATATGTATTTTATTATCGGAAAATCCATTAACACTAATAGGATAAACTAAATAAGTCTGTATAGAGCAACATTTCTAGAGCACATTTATGTTCATATAACGTAATTTAAGATAGTATTTTCACACATATTGTTTCCCGCCTAATAAGTGGCTATTTATCCCTGTGTAACTGGCTTGTACCGATCGCTCCGATTGGTAAACGTTTTGCGGCCTTAGTTTGACTTAATTTTCACCGACCGTCCTGTTTGTCGTGGTCGTGGTCCTCTGGCTCTATTGTCTGCTCAGCTTTCGCTTCGTGATTTGCGATTTTATCGCATTGAAATGAAATAATTTGAGTTCAAAATGATGAAGTTAATTGTGTTTATTAGGCTGCCAGTCACACAGAGTCAGACAATGCGACTCTTGCGTTGTTCGGGTCTCGAGTTTCAAGTTTCGAGCTGACTCACTTCGCCCTGAAGGCTCTTCCCTCCAACTGTCCCTCAGATGTTGCCCAAATAGTCTTGGTTTATGCAAATTCGTGAATTTATGAGCTGTGCCCCATTAAGTCATTTTAAAAGACTCTTTTTCCAAGTTGCCCCGGGAGCAACAAGAGTTGCTGAAGTGGCACCGACAACAATACGAATTCGAAATCCAACTCCCGACTTGCAACTTGCAATCCGCAATCGCGCAACTTGCAACTTGCAACTTCCAAGTCCAATTTCCAAGTCCAAGTCGTGTGCGATATTAATCGCTTTTGCTGAAAATGTCATGTCAGTTTTATGTCGTAACATGATTACGTGGCTTGGACTCCAGAGGATACGGATGTGCCACGAACAGATGTTGCAGATCTAGTCAAGGGAATAGTCGTAAGGAAAGTGCAAATGATCCAGGGACTACAGATACTTAAAAGGCTAAAATCCAAAATGAGAAAACTACATTTTTATCATATTGCAAGAGAAGACTCTTATGACTCTCTAAACGAAATTCCATACCGATTTCATCAGTCATTCTCACGTTTCCCAATCTTAATGAAATCAAAATCGCATTTTACATAACTCGCAGCAAAATGCGGAAACAAAGGCAATGGAGTGGAAAACAGTGGCAACAGTTGAGGGGCGGGAAATCTTCCCCCGATTAACGCATTTAGTGCACACGGTGCAGCGTTTGTCAGCTTAGCAGATTTCATCTCAGGCGTTGTAGAACCATAAAAAAGGGCTGGCATTCCGGATTTGGGATGTTGCAAAGATCATATCGGAACACGAAAATCGCTTGTCAGACGCTCTTAATGAGCAGAACGCGGCCTCGTGTCGTTTTTGTAAAGGTCACGTGTGCTGTGCCATAGACCGCCCCTTATTTTTAGCTTTCTTTCTCATCATCCTGGCTGTCAAGTGGTTGGGATTGGTTTTCACATGGTAGTACCATATCATCAATGACAGCTGGGAATTATATTGGCATTTTTTGAAAAACTATAGGTAATTTTATATACAATTGCTATTTACTGCAGAAGTAAGTGGTAGTACTAAAATTGGGGAGTCTATTAACCAACGAAATTCCTATTCAACCAACGAAATTCCATGCATCTGATGTCCATGGGAGGTGGTAAGCTATGTGTTGACT